GTTCTCCTTATTCCATATCCTCTTCAGCAAAGCTGCCATTTATGCTTTCGATCTTCACTACATTGACAATTGTAAGTTGAAATCTCAAAGTCGTTTTGATATGCATTTACCTGTTGGTTAAGGATACTGAACATTTCTTTAAGTGTACCTTAGCCATTTGAGATCGTACTGCTGAGAATTCTGTTTATGTCTGTACCCCATTTTTAAATCGGATTATTTGGTTTTTTGATGTCTACCTAAGATTTTTATATTCATCCAATTCTATACAAGACAATATTCATTTTCTAAATTTGAATAAATAATCTTTTTCTTTCTGAGTCTTTCAATGTCCCTTAGCCAACAAGTTGCAGAGTTATATCAGGTTGTTTTTTTTATATTGTTTTTATATCAGTCTTCATGGACCTAGTGGTCTAGACACTTAATTAAGGGATTCTATCTTTGTCAAGTACATTAACAAATATGTATGTTACTGAAAAAATACAACTAATTTAATAACTTTGCTCTTAATGCACTAGAAATAAAGCTGTTGGCCTAAAACTTTGTTAGCTACATGGGTTTTGTATATTCCTACAGGTATCATACATTGCCTTGGTCAATATTTCCTAAAACATGATTCTGACTAGTATGTGGGCAACATTTTCACCAATAAAATCAATCCAGCACACTATGCATAGTACTTTACCTTGAAGATTTCAAAAGCAGTGTAATACCACACTTCCTGTAGCATCCCACAGTCAAGTAACTGCTGTTCTTTTTGTTGAACCAAAGCTAGACAAACATATTGAGCCATAGATTTTATTTTCATTATAAAGTGGTCAGAGTAACATTTGTAACTGGAGTAAAAATACATTTGTGTTCATTGAGAAAGACTTCATGCATTTTATTCATAAAAATATCAGGACAAATAGTTCAAAAGAGGATTATCAGAGATGGGAAAAGGTGACTTTGCCAAACATTATAGAAGTTGTTTAGTAGATTTTCATAGTTGTGACAAATATCTAGAAAAACAACCTTCAAGAGGAAGAATTTATTTTGGCTTGTGGTTTTAGAAGTTTTGTTTCATGGTCATTTGGCCCTCTTGTTCCTTGGCTGTGATAAAGGAGCATGTCATGAATGCAACCATTTGATGGAGTGAATCAGCAGACAGAAAGCAGGGAGAGAGGACACTGAGGCCATTTAGACATAACACTTTCCTTGTTGGCATACACCTAGAAACTTAGTTTCCTCCAGCTAGGCCCTACCTCTTAAATTTCCAGCCTGCGTTTAAATAATGCCATAATCTGAAAACCAAACCTTGTAGATGCCATCTAGTGTTCAAAATATAACACAATCCAAAGCAAACATAAATAGTTAAATTGTAGAGTGGCCTCAGAGAGTAGCAGAGTGAAAAGAAGAAAGAGAACTGACAGGTCTTCTTCCTATGAGTCAGTGTCCAGTATCATCAAGAAACATGCTCAAGTGAATCTCCATAAATAGGAGGAAGCCCTTCCTAGGAAGAGCTAAATGCAACTCAGAGTCAAATACTGTCCATTTAGACCCAGAAATAGTCCTGAAATTATTCAAGGTTATATAATATTGGAGGCCACAACAACCAAGTCTCATCAAAAGTTCTCCTAAAATCTGTTTTCCAATAACACAAATTAAGTTGAAATTTTAAATGTGATGTCAGAGTAGAACATAAAATAAGGGACACTGTTCTAACTCTATTCAGAATATCTCCTCTTGCCCATAATCTTCTAATTGTGTGGAACATGGCTAGGCATAGAAAATTCGTAGGAGGATATCAGCCATGCTAATGACAGGTATCTTCACAGACTATTTGATATTTAAATAGGTAGCCAGGTTCTTTAATGCTAATGCTTTTCTTTATTCATGCTTAACTGTAATTGTGGTTAGAAAGTTACATTGAAAGCAATGCTTTTATCCATGATGAAGTCTTCATGAGTCCAATGCTATATCTAATTTCTTACTTCACTAAAAAATTCTATAGGAAGCTTTCTGATTATAATAATAATTTCAAATTAAGAAATATTTGTAGTCATATTCTATTGTGTCTGACAGTTTTAGGGAGAGAAAAATTCTCCCTAAAATAATAAGGTCCTAATTATCATTATACTATTGGAAACCCAAGATAATTTTACTGAGGAAATATTTATTGGACACTTACTCTGTGTCTGGTTCTGGCTAACATCTTAAAAATAAAAGATGTAAAATGCAATCTCTGATGAGGATCACAGACCAAGGGCCTTTTGCTGAGATTGTCCAAGCACACATTGCAAAATGACTTTTAATGTAAGCCAGACTGTGACATGCTTGAAACAGACAGGATGGACATAGGGGAGAATTTCAGATCAAGACAAAAGAAGAAAAAGAAAAGGAAAATTGGCTTATCCGATAAGAGGTAAAGAACTGAGGCAAGCCAGTGCACCAGAACTCACTGGGTTTTCTAAAAACAACAGTTGCTAAGAATGTATCAAATTGGCTCTCTTTATAAATAACTGTGTGTATTAAGCTTAGCAACTTTACCTGGTGTAAAAGTCTATCTCTGAACAAATTATCAATTTATAGCTCACTATTTTTTTCAATTAAACTAGCTTTTTACTAATTATGAAGTAATACGCATTTACTTAAATATGAATGAAAACACATATTCACTACCTCAAACAAAGAAATAATTGCAATCCTATCAGCTTTTTTTGTGCTCATTCCTTGGTGCATTAACCCATGTAAACAAAAATACCATTTAATCAAAATGGCGTTATATACACACTGTATAATACATCTGTGTCCAAAAGTCTTACCTCTTTCAGATATTTAATATCAACACCTAATTATTTTTCTAATTCTTCCATGTACATTTCTTTGTGATTGTTTCTTAGTACATTATATTATCTTTTGCATGTGTCAATATATTTCATTCATGATGAAGGATTTAATTCTGTATCATATTATCTCATGTAGAAACCTGTCTAGATGAACAGTGCATCTCAAGGTTTAAAAGTCTGATGTAGGAATCACGTGGGAATCTTGATAAATATGCAGACTAATTGGGTGTCTTTGGGATAGTTCTGTAAAGCTGCATTTCTGACAAGCTTCCAGGTGATGACAAAGTTGCTGCTCTGAAGACAGTACTAAAATACCAGAGGTGTAGTGATCTATCTTAGTCTTTAGAATAATTTATACTAATACTATTCTTCACGCAAATGCTTCCCTCTATTAGAGGCTTCCCCTTTGTTTTCAGGTTTTTGCTATCACAAAAATTAGAGCAGCCTTTCTTTCATCTCTGCATTCTTTCTAGGTCACCCATTTCCTACTTCTAAGTACCCTGGGGCTCAATGAACCTGGGTCAGTGCCATCAGCTTAACATGTGTTTTTATCGATAAGGAACTTTATGTTGTTGCTGTTTCCCAAGTCCCTCAAACATAAGGTATGCAATTTATAAAGTATCCCAACAAGGCACTTGTCCTGGTCCAACTCAGTGTCACCTTTCAGAGTACTTTAGAATCTCCATCACGATGTAACTGCATTGAAATCAACATGAGTTGATATCAGGGTTCAGTGAGCTCATATGGAGGGAATCCAGGTTTCTCTGTTCTAGAATAAAGAGCTGAGAAGAGACACCATGATACAGCAGAGGCAGAGCATTGTTTGTTAAGAAAATATGTTTTCAAGGGATGAAGTAAATTGAAGGAAAGAGGGGGAGTTCAGTAGCTATGAGTCTCACTGAACAAAGGATACAGGCTTTTATGCTACACCCTGGGCTTTTTGGAATCATTTGCATTTTGGACTCATTTGCATCTGTATAGGATTTCTTACACACATTCTATTACACTCAGCTCTGCAAAATAGTTCATGCATTGTGTGTGTCCATCACATTTTAAAGCTCCACCCTGGGATGTATGCTAATATTATAACAAACAATAGACAAGCTTCAGATAGTCTGAGGATGCTCTGCACCTGCTGGGATGGTGGAACTGAGTGGTGGAGAATGAGGTCACCAGCCTTTCTCTCTGCCAAGTGGTTTCTTTTATATACTTTTGTTATCCTTTATGAATTTTCCATCTCACTCTCCTACTCATTCTTAGACCTCAAAATGGTTGAACTCTAACTCTGTTGGGTCCCTTAATACAACACACTGTTGCTAAGTATCCCTAACATTCAAAGGTAAGAAATAGGTTTACAGACACATTCTATCTCAATGTGTATCTCCTTGGAGGATTATAACCTAATGAAGCCTTGGAATGAAACCAATTTTCCCTTTTTTCCCTAATCTAATATATCCTTGCCTTTGGGGCCATTTCTAATGATACATGTCCAATTTTTATAACATGCATATATATAATTTTCTTTGCTCAATTTTTAATGTTTATTGTAAATAATCTTCTTGAACATGACAGGCAGACATGCATTTGACACTTCTGTTCTTCATGCTAATAACATTTTAATAAATTATTAGAGATTGCATGTATCCATAAGCACAGGATTATGTACAACCAATGACTTGTTTGACAGGTGCAGAATATGTCCCAGTCTATAGAAGTCTTAAACTTGAGAACTCAGAGAGATTTCCAGTATGTCTTAAAAATGGAAACCCAAATGAAAGGGCTGAAGGCCAAGTTTCGGCAGATTGAAGATGATCGGAAGACACTAATGACCAAGCATTTTCAGGTAGGTGTGAGTCCTCCAATCTTGTCAACCAGTGCAATAGTCAGCTAACATCAGTCAGCTAGAAATAACTACACTTGGCCCATGTGTACAAAGTTAAGGACTCAATGGGGAGTCAACTGTCTTGTCAGTAAAAAGTGACTCTTAGCAGCTAAGAACACATAGAAAACTGCTATAAAAAAAACCTGCCCTCACCCCAAGGTATGTGGAGTTTCTGGGTATATTTACAAGTAATCTGCCATGTAAAACAAAGGGGCTATCCCTCAAGAATTAATAATTAACTCATCAAATCTTTTAAAAATGATTTTATGCTCTGCTAAAATGAGAAATGTGGAGGATGTAGTTTTTGAGGATGTGAATTATTAAAGGAAGAAATGATGCCATTGATAAAAGGATTTGTAAAAGGATAGTTTCATAAGTTTATATAAACAATTTCTTTTCAAAGATTATGTGTGTCTTAATACCAATTGTCTAGAAACTAGAAATGGAAAAATGTGTTGAGCATGCTGTGCAGCCTTCATTAATGATATATGACAGAGTGACTTATTTCAAAAACTTCTTCGTTTGATAATGACACTTGAGCATCTATTAAAATAATTTATCTGTCTTAAAAAAGCACAGTTCAGAGTTTTCTAAACCATTAAGGGTGTTCACTTGTAACATCTTTTTCCCCTCTGTCAAATAGAGAGTGGAGTTCAATCCTAGTATAAAAGGAATGACTTGAATTCAAGCTTGAGGTAAAGGATTTTGAGCGTAGTGGAGACATAAAGAGTTCAGTAATATTTTGTTTATGATCTAACAAACAAAGCTTGCCTGAAGATCAGACTGCAAAGCTAGACGCCAGGCAGTGGTGGTACAAACCTTTAATTCCAGCACTCAGGATAAAAAGGCAAATGGATCTCTGTAAGTTCAAGACCACCCTGGGATACATGAGAGTGAATCAGTCTAAAAGAGAAACAGAGCTCACACCTTTAAACCCAGAACCAAAGATGTGGAAACAGGAGTGATATGGCTGGCCAGACAGGAATACAAGATGGAAGGAGACAAGAGAGAGAGACACACAGTCTAGCCAGTCTGAGGAATATTGCAGTAGGAGGAGCAATGGAGTCTGGAGATGCAATCTGAGGACAGTATTGGCCCTTTGGTCTGAAGTAGAGGTAAGTGCTAGTGGCTGCTGCTTTGCTTCTCTGATCTTCAGCTTTAACTGTGCCATCTGTCTCTGGATTTTATTATTCACTCTACAATAGATAGTTAGTCATAGACAAACAGGATCCTTCCAGGTACATTTTAATAATGTAGAAATCATCTTGTTTTAGAATTTTTTTGTAGCCTTTGGAAATTAGGACAGACATCAATACACAATCAGTTTCAAATGAAGAAAAAGAGGAAAGAAAAGCTGAGGATACTGAAAAGAGAGAAAGCTGAAGTTGTTGAATCATGGAACTTGAGATGAAGAGAGACTTAAACAAGATGAGTAGAAGGAGAATGAGTTAGAACAAGTCATAGAAAAGACAATGCACTTGAAGATTATAAAAAATAAAACTTTGAGCTAGATTAACAGGAAAAACATTGGAAAAATGATAAACAGAGAGGAAGATAATGTTTGGGACCAAGGAATTCATATCAACCAGAATGCATTGAGAATATATACTCTGTGAGGCAGGGCCAGGCACTCCTTGGAGGAATGAAACACAAGCTCCTCCTATGAAAGAAAACCTATAGGAAAACATACTGTGCTGAAATGATGCATCAGCATCATTTAAGTGCACACAGAGAAGTGCAATCCATTTGTCCACTGGAGATCTACTGAAGAGTTAGGAGATTTGACAGTGTTCAAGAAAACTGTGTTTGGTATGACCTCCTTTACCCAGATACTAAATTCTAGAGAGGATCTAGAAATTCACAGAGTCTCAATGTCCACTTTCAATGCTTAGAATTAGAGGACAGATGGTCAAGTAACAGTATGAACCTGGTGATGTGGGATATTCTTCTGTATGCTGTGAATATGTGTCTCTTATTGGTTGATGAATAAAGCTATTTCAGCCAGTAGCCAGGCAGAAACTATAGAGAGAGAGAGACAGAGAGAGAGAGAGAGAGAGAGAGAGAGAGAGAGGAGCCACCATGGACAAGGCACATAGCTGCTGAGGGAAGAAGATGGCCAGGCATCACCAGATAGCCAAGACAAGGTGGAGATACATTGATTAAAAGAAATGTGTTGCCGGGCGTTGGTGGCGCACGCCTTTAATCCCAGCACTCGGGAGGCAGAGGCAGGTGGATCTCTGTGAGTTTGAGACCAGCCTGGTCTACAAGAGCTAGTTCCAGGACAGCCTCCAAAGCCACAGAGAAATCCTGTCTCGAAAAACCAAAAAAAAAAAAAAAGAAAGAAAAAAGAAATGTATTAATAGTTAAAAGACAGCTAGCCAATAAGAAGCCTGAGCCATCAGCCAGTTTATAATTAACATAAGCCTCTGTGTGTTTATTTAGGAGTAAATGGCTGCTGGACCTGGCAGAACAGATACCTGCATCTACAACCTGGAGCTGTGTTGTTATCAAAGTAGAAGGTTGTAAAAACTAAGGTGGGAGAGAGAATCAGTCCCAGGAAGGAGAGCAGGAAGAGAGCTGGATCTCATGTTTCATGTCAGGATACAAAGCACAGAGAACATGGTAGAACCAAAGAACCATGTAATCTTTCTGGGTCAGCAGAACTGGGGATATAGATGCAAGAAACAAAGAAATAAAGCTGAAAGAAACCCAAAAATATTTGTCCTAGTGAATAGGTTTTTTTTTTTTTTTTTTTTTTTTTTTTTTTTTTTTTTTTTGCAAAAGCCATGATGTCAAAAAGAAAATAGCATTTTCAGGAAGTAACATGTGATTGTGATTTTGATTTTCACAGTTCACATAAATGAAGGATATGTTGGAAATGTTGAAATATAAATCAAAGTTTATCAGTAATAAAACAATAACCATTTTTTCTGAACATATATATTCACAGCAAAGTTCAAAACACTTTCATGTATTTATTGATTTAATCATCAGGCCAATTCTGTGAGGCAAGCATTGTTTTCCTGTTTTTATCCCTAGTAAATGAAGTAAACACAAACTATCAGTAAATTTTCTTACATCCGAATGAAGATTCAAATTGAAAAAGCTTCGCTCCAGACCTGTAGGTCTGAATTGATAAACTTGTTCTCTGAATTAAAATTAATATTAACTGAATGTTCAACTCACTTGGTCAATTACTTGCAATAAGAGAATAAGGACTTGATTTCAGATCCCCAGGGTACATGAAAAGGTGGCAGGGTTTGGGGATGCACACCTATATCCTCTGTGTTGGGAAGTAAAAATAGACATATATTGAAGCTTGTTCGCTAGCTAATTTAACCTAGTAGGTGAGTTCTTGATCCATTGAGAGTTCCTATCTTATGAAAAAAATAATATGCAGAGAATGACTGAGAAAGACACTTAACATCAAGGTCTGGCCTCCGTAATGATACACACACACACACACACACACAGTCACAAAATTGCATACCCACATATATACATATACATACATATACAAACATACAATATGCACACCAATAGACATGCCCAAATCCCCACATTTATAAGCTCAATTCCCCTGCACTCAAATCAGAGTAATCATTAGAGGTTCAACACATGCTTGTGAAACTCATTTCTTCACTGAGTTACATCATGCATCACATTTCCCTCTAGGTACTGAGATAACATATGCTAGAAGTAGAACATTCTAAAACCAAGTTTAAGTTGAAAATACTCTGTTAAAAAAAAGACTCTGTTCTCCTGCAAAATGTTTATCTCATGACAAACACTGTTAACTTTTGCTTTTATGACCTTTCAGGAGGAAAGCTAAGCTACCCATTGCAGTAAGACCAATTGCTCTTGGCAGGATACTCTGATTTACTGGGCCTCTAATAAGTGTTCAATGTTTCAAAATTAATAGTCAAAAGTCCAGTACTTTTTGAAATAATTAATAAAACAACCTTTGTAATTCATCAAAGAAAAGATACTTCCAAAACTTTGACATCAGATCGCTCCTTTAAATACACCTACTTATAAATTGAAAAGTTTGTCATTGTGGCTGTTGTTATAATTTGCAGCAAATGGCATGAGCAGAGCTCTTATCATTAAAATTCTAATGAAACAATTGCATCTCTCTTTAGGGGTACCAAAACATACTTAAACTTATTTTAAAGTGAGCCGAAATGAGCAATGTTCTGCAGTTCTTCCTTTTGACTGCAATAGTTATGAGTCTTTTCCATTACAAGATTTTTTATCCTCCAATTTAATTTGTACATGTAGACAAATTCAAAGATGTTCAGATTTATACAGTACATAACCCCCCCACAAGAAACACAAGCCCATTAATCAGGGCAACAACAGAAGTTTCTGCTTCTTGAATGTATTTATAGTAATAACATTTTCTAAGTGTAATTTAAAAATGCGATTTTCAGTTCCTTAAATAATTATACAGTATGGCTTCTGACAGCACCTATGGTTTATTCTCAAATGATCATAAGTTTGGAACTCCTTCAACCAATTACATCATCTGCAATAAATTCACAGTTGAATTAAGCTCCTGCAATACTTTTGTTGTCCACAGCAGCTACCAAGTTAAAGGAAAAGAATTAATGGTGACAGGTGAAGAAGTTGCAGTAATAATGACGTTGTGGCCTGGTCTTGTGATGACTAATAATGGAGGGCATTGATTGACAACATACACTGCTTGGTCCCTTGACAAAAATGAGTGTTTAAATGTTGAACAGCTCCATGTAGCCAGCCCAACTGTTATATAAGCTATGCACCTTGTTCCCTTAAGGAGTTAATTCACTACATGAGTGGGTAAGGGATGCTGTCTTTTGTAATGACTCCTAAATTATCTATGCTATACGATAAATGGAAACAGAGTGTGGCTAATGTTTCAAAATGGAAACAGCAGTATATATCTCCTCAGCGTTTGAGGAATTTTGTATGATTTATCATGCAGTTGAACTTACCGTCTAATGAAGTTGTCCTAAGTAGGATATTCCAAAGGATAAGGAATATCTGAGCACAAATAAAAGATAACAGAGTACAAGGCCATGGCTAGAAATAGTCTTAAGTTCAAGGAAAAAGCTGGTCTAGAATCAGCTTTTCCTGTATGTAGTTCTATAGCATGGATAGCCAGTAGTGGGATAATTCATATTCACTACCTTCTCATAGGATGCTTGATCTCTTTCAATTATAGCCAGTCAATGCATCATTGGAGAAAGGGATCATGTCTCTGTTTCCTAACTATATGATGTATTCTTCTCTTTTTAAAAATTAGCATAATGTAAGATAACACAAAAGACCATAATTGCTATGATAAAAGGTTTTTTTCTAATTAGGATATCGATCAATTTATTTTATAGCAAACATGTAACCTCTTAAAGAGAGGTTTATGTGATAACAAGCTGATATAGGCAAATTTATTACTAGCTGTCACATGGCTACTTGTATTATCAAAGCCTACCTGACATCAATCAAAAAAATTGAAGAACTTTGAAGCTATTTCAATGAGCTCCTTTACATGTCGTAATGAAATGAATGTAGATGCTTTTACTGTTTGAAATTACTTGGGAACATTCTGCTGCTTCCCACAGGAACTGAAAGAGAAAATGGATGAGCTACTGCCCCTGATCCCAGTGTTGGAGCAGTACAAAACAGATGCCAAGCTCATCACACAGTTCAAGGAGGAAATTCGGAATCTGTCCTCAGTGCTCACTGGGATTCAGGAGGAAATCGGTGCCTATGACTATGAAGAACTGCACCAACGGGTCCTCAGCCTGGAGACCAGGCTGCGTGACTGCATGAAAAAGCTAAGTGAGTAGAGCTCTTGGGTTTCTAAAGTAATGAGCTTCATTTTCCTTGAAGACTGTGTCCTTACACTTAAGGAATTCAGAGTGAAGGACCTAGTTAGAGGGAATCAGGCCAGAGCATTACTGAGAACTGTTGTTTAAATTTTTGCAATGCAAAGGCTCTGTGATTTCACATAAGCAGTCTAATGAATATAAGCAGCTACAAATGTTTCTTTTCTTTTTCTTTTCTTTTTTTTTCCAGACAGGGTTTCTCTGTGTAGCTTTGCAGCCTATCCTGGCACTCGCTCTGGAGACCAGGCTGGCCTCGAACTCATAGAGATCTGCTGCCTCTGCCTCCTGAGTGCTGGGATTAAAGGCGTGCGCCACCAACGCCCTGTCAAATGTTTCTTTTATCTTATTTTTGTTCATTTATTTAGTTTTCAGTCCTGGGAATCAAACCCAGAAAAATTTATGTGTTGAGTTTAACTACTATGATATAATTAAACAATAACATCTGTATTCATCTCTCCACATAATAAGGTAGTTGATCTTTTATTTAACTGAGATGTATCAATAAACCTTTGAAAACTCAGCAGTGCCTTAATAGCCCTCACAAATACCCAAATTTATAGTTGTTAAAGCAGTATGGTGCTTAGCTATAGCCATGAATACCATGCCATATGCTTTATTTAATTCCTGGATTCTTTATAAAACTCAATGCAGTTCAAATGCAATATTAATATGGTTTGTGTAAAAATGACAAGAAAATTAGTCTATACACATTTACTACAGATGGAATTGTTTTCTATATGCTTCTTATTGCTTGTTGGTTGAAATTGAAAATATGAAACCCATGAAAAGAAAGAGTAGGCTGTAGTTCTACCATTTCATGAACTCTTTCCAAATATCAGGAGTCATTGTCTCCTAGTCAGCATAATGACTGGAGACTAAATTTAATGGGTTTTTTAATAAAACAAAGTCATTTTGTACTCCTCGCTATTTAGATCAATTAACCATTTAGTATCGTTGAACAATCTAAATTGTAGATGGAAGGTAAATATACATGATGATGACAGATAGATAAAAAGATAGATAGATAGATAGATAGATAGATAGATAGATAGATAGATAGAGAAAGACATAGAAATGGAGATATAGACACTCAGTAGAAGCACAAATGGGTAGATGATACATGGATACATGGATATTGTGTGTGTGTGCGTGTGCATGCGTGCACGCACAGGCGCATGCCTGTCCATGCCCACTCAGGCACAGAGAAACAGAAACTAAAGCATATAATTTCAAGGTCACTGGGTTATGGTTTGATTAAAATATATTTGACTTAGTATCTACATTTCTTGGTATTGGTACAAGCTGGACGAATTCATCTCTGAGAATCCTTGTAACTCCATAATCATTGTTATTTTCTAAACACCAGAATATCAAAACATCAGACAACAGAATTTGGGGAGGGAGGAAGAACAGTAATTAACTAACAACCAAACCATTAACACAAAGGATAGAGGGAAACATATCATGGGTTGAACATTCCAAAAATTCTAAAATTGACTTGCTAAAAGTGTGTGTGTGTGTGTGTTGGTGTGTGTTTGGCTCACAGAAAGAGAGAGAGAGAGAGAGAGAGAGAGAGAGAGAGAGAGAGAGAGAGAGAGAATTACAATCCAGTATAATGAGCAAGAAGGCTCATCCATCACTAGCATCTTCACTCTTCCCAGAAGCCTCTAAACACACAGCTGATTAGCAGAGGTTAGAAATGAACTGGGGAGTGAGAATCAAATAACAACAATTGTGAATGCATTTCCCTCAAATTTCTTCCCCAGTGGAGTTAGTTTTAAGTAAAATGTCACAAGGCACAGCACATAAATCTGAAGATTGAAAATTAAACCAGGTTCCCTGGTTTCAAGGACACTCCCAAACAGTAAGCAAGGCCCTCAGGGAATCACAAGTCCTGCAGACTACAAAGGCAGTTTATTTCTAAGGAAGAATTAAAGGTTTGCAGGGAGTAGAAACTAGACAAAGCATCCACAGCAATGCACCCTTATGGCCTGAGTGAAGTACAATGATGCTTTTTCCAAAGTATTTCACTTTCTCCTCTGAGAGACTGAATAGAATAAAGTCCCCTGCGCTTAATTAAATCGTATCAGACTTCAGGACATGAAGAATATAATTATATGCTTGTGAAAATTTGTCCAATAAAGCATGGTTAAAACTCTTACACACCCCCTGAGATCACCAACAACTATTTGATGGAGATTATAGCCAGGCTTACCCCTATCCCTACCCCTTCACCACCCCATTCCCTCTTGCTGTTTCTATTTTAGGGCAATGATTTGGTGCCCTCTAGTGAAACAAGGGATGCATCTTTTTTAGTAAATCAGCCATTTGAGGTCAAGGTGATGGGACCGATTTTACTATGGTATGGAGAATTTGTTTCTTACAATGAAAACCATTTTTTATGTGCCAGTAGGCATGCTTATATACTCAACAAATATTTTTTACTCCATGACAAATTCTGGCAATCTGTGGGGTATTTGAAGAGCCAAGAAGTGTAAAAGACCATCTCTCTTAAACATGCTAATCTTTATGCAAAATTGGGTAATTGCAGCAAGATGGGGTGCCTACTGCTTGAAAGGCAATATGCCGACTGTTTTGCATATTGGTTTTAATCTCTGATTCAAAGAAACACCTCAAAATTAATAAACTTCCATAGATATAAAAGTAATGACAGTTTAAGTCCATAAAACAAATTTACTACTGATATTTAACATAAGCTAATTACAAGAGAAAGAGCACCTCATTCAAAGAAGTAATAGTGTCTTCTGCCTATAATGTAATGAAACACTCAATGAGAATATAAGTTTGTTAACTGTGTGTATATATCTAAATATATGCCAAGGCAGGTACTTATTTATATTTCCTCCTTTTGTAAAACTACTTTAAATAGCAAAGAAATTGTTTAGGTAGCCCAGGAAATACAATTTAATGATTAAAACTGCCCTCCATCCAATTCATCCAACTGTTGTGGCCCAGAAGGAAGTGTGAGAGACAGTTATTTCTTCCTTATCCCCTGAAGCTCACTTCTGCCACACAAGTCACCCCATCTTCTTACTCCTCCTTTACACATTTCTCATAACTTTCTACATCCTCATCGTCATCACCCAAGTCCAGAACTTTATTCACCATGTTTCAGTTGGAATCTACAATGGTATCCCCCTTGCTACTGGATTTAACTGAAAGCAGAACTTCTCCATTGTTCTCAGTATTTATTCTAATTTTTTCCAAGCACTAATTGGGGCATGTTACAATTGTATTTGAGGCACTTACCTTTAAAGCTCAATTCAGTCACTTCTGAATGATGTATGTTAGTCACATGGATACTACATCATTCCCCTCTCCCTCCAAGTCCTCAGTATACACCAGTCTTCTGCCCCAAGCTTTGACCACTCTCGTCTTTCATGTCCCATTTGTCTAATTTAACTCCCCCAGACATTGAATTCTTTATTTTCCCCCAACACTCTTCCTACTTAAATACTAAAACCCTAACACTTTCCAGTCATCTCTTTTGGGCACTATCTGACTGCACCTGTAAGAGTTTGCATTCCCATGGCATGGTTCCCTCAACCCTTTCCTCCAGGATACTAATCTTATTCACACATTGTACAGAGAAAATGCACTATCTGACTGCACCTGTAAGAGTTTGCATTCCCATGGCATGGTTCCCCCGTGTGTGTGTGTGTGTGTGTGTGTGTGTGTGTACATGTGTGTGGTTTGTGTGTGTGTGTGGGGGGGGTTACATAGACATAGCGTCTCTCATAAACCAGAAATCTTTTTTAGAAAATGTAGATTACCAAACCACAGTATTTGTTCCCACCTGTTTTGTAATGTGTTGTTACTGGCTTATGTTCACATGGGCAATTTAAATATTTCATGAAAATATACCTAATAGTTTACTCTATAGACACCACAAATCTCGGAGACTGAAAGAATTAAGACTCTGACTTCCTGGTGTGGAAAATTGAGATTTTAAAAAGAAATCTATTGACAATTTTTCAGAATATATCTCTAGATTTAATTCAAATAATCCCTAGTAAGTCCTTTGAAGTCATTTGCTAGACTATGTCACAAACATCCCCAAAGTTTTAAGTTGTATCATAAAACACTGTCTCCCCACTGCATACATTTGAGGCTATTTCTTTCTGAACTTTTGGATTGAGATTATTTTGGCCAGTGTTTTCAATAAATAATCAAGTTTACTATAAATTGATTATAATTAGTCTTCCATATGTTTATATGCTGTTAAATTACACTATATTTAAATCTTTTAAAAACACAACTATATTCCCTGTAGAAAGAACAAATTTCTAAATTATCAGGGCTTTCATTATAATATTGTCCATTTAGTTTAAAGTTTAGATAGAATCCTCTTTTAAGATATATTTTTAATTCAAGTTTTATTAGAAAAGGTAACTAGAAGAATTGAGGTAATTTCTTAAATGATTAAGAAAGCAAAATTTTGTTTCCTGGAAAAATATGAGCTATTAGGCACACATTTAATTGCTGTTATTCCCATGAGAATCTCAGTATCTCAGTGTGACTATCTGAATCCTGTCTCTTAGCAGCATAATCGACAAAAATAGACATAAAGATAACATTTAAATAATATAAGTGAACTTTAAAGGGCGCCCAAAGTATGGTAGAGATAAACTTTCTATAGGACTTTTAATAGACTAAGTATAAAATCAAATCATATGTATTCCTTATTACAGGAGTTCTCCATTGGTTTTCAGAAGAAGGACATAATTTCTGCCCATAGATATATTCCCTGATCTATTTAAATTATATGAATGGATTTGGCCTAAGGATCCAAAGCTAGAAGCTATTAGATTAAACTATAATAAAGCACATTCATATGCTAAAGAACTAAGAAAAAAGGGTAGATGTGTTTTATGCATCAATGATCCAAATAGCTTCTTCATGCTGCATCCTAAATGATACCTTTTCCTCAAC